TTTCAGTTTCCGTCTGAGACTGACACTCTCATTTCTGAGAGTCTGGTGACCTGGGATTATTGCTATTTAAGAGAGGATGTTTAAGGAAAATGGCTGTACTCACTTCCGTGACCCCCCAAATCTTATGCTCTGCCATGGATCTGAGTGACTCCCAATACAGATCTCGTCTGTCCTGGCTGCATGGTGTCCAAAGGGCCACTCCAGTAGCTGAGAACAACCAGAGAGGAGAAGTGCTTGACTACCCTGCTTTTTTCCAGTCCCACACCTCCATGCTCCCTGGCCACTCACTTGCAAAGAAGAAAGACTGGCCAGTGAATACTGCTCTCCTCAGCCACTGCTACAAAGGTTCCCTTTTCCTTGCAAAGGCTGCCCATGAAACCTCCATAAATAGTGATGCGGCAGCCTATAGCAGGAGGAATCCTGGGTGAAAACCCTGCCTGTCTCACTGCTTCATGTAGCTGAAAAGGTCCTCAGCTGCATCAGAGTTACTTGTACCATGTGAATTTCATTCTAAATATAGAAGGTTCTCTTCCTGAGATTTTGTACTTGAACTGTCATTTAATATTTAGAAGGATGGGCACCATTATTCATCTGGATAAAAAAGAACAAATTTGCTCTCATAATGATCAAATTCCCCTCACTTCAGGCTTTGACCTCAAAAAATCTGACAGCAGCCATTTGTGCATCTATTCTGACACCACAGTAACCCAAGGCTCACTAGCAGTCCAAAGGTGCAGTCCTGGGATGCAGCCATTATGTTTAGCTGAAAGCATTTAGCAAGCAAATATAGCCTACTCAGAAATTCGTGCCACAGGGAATATTGCTTATTCCAGGAACCTTGTGCAGCTTGCTTTATGCATTTTTATAAATACAAATAAATTCACTAAAGAACAACTTAACCTTGTGGATTTAAGATTCATTTAACCTTTCTGCTCATATGTTCTTTAAACTGCAGGCTTTGCATTTTTATTAAAATAAACAGTTTTGAAAATCTGAGCTTTTGTCACAGTATGCCATCCAGCTGTCCCACAGTTCCTCCCCTTCTCTAGGTTGTAATGTAATAAGATATTTTATCAGAGGAGCTGGTAAATTCTCGAATTGGACAACAGCCACCTACCCACAGATTAAGGTGGACAAGTATTCTTATCTGGCATACAGCTATAAAATACAATTCATGCGTTAGAGCTGTAAAAAGACATATAAAACTAGTGAAGCTGAAGAAGAAGTGTGAATAAATGTAAATGACCAAGGTAATTACAAATAGGTAAATACTACATGATTTAAAGAACAGCTAAAGCTCAACAATCCTTGCCTTCATAAAGGTAGGACAGCAAAGGTAGCCCTAGAGGGAAACCTGCAGTAAAAGCATATTTTTCTGTATATGTGTGTGTATAAATTGTACTGTAACACATAACATAGGCAAGACAGGAAGGCTCCTCCTTGTTCAATAGACAGTGGATCACTCACCACATCTACCTGCTTCACTTCAGCATGATAATCTGCAGTATATTACCTCAAGTTTTTTGTTTTATGTAGTTATCTTACTATATTGCATACAGGAAGAAAGTACGATACCCAGAATGCTGATAACTCCTGTGTTATAGACAGTACAACCTAAATGGACTGAACACTGGCATAGTTTGACTTAAATAGTCTCTACATCTAGTTAGATCACGTTTGCTATAATAAACATCTACTTAAGACAATGCAGCTTTGTGACTGAGCTCTGTAATGCTTAGACTTCAACCATCTGACAGGCAAGCTGTGTAGTATATTCTCTTACTTCAATATCCTGTGCACTGGTCATAGCTGGAAAAGAAGCAGTTTTCCTGTTGGGAGAATTATGTTCAAATGTAGAAAGTGGAAGTTCACATTCCATACCAAGAAAGGTCTTTCAGTGGACTGGTTAGCAGTTATAAATACGGCTGTGGGGATATGAGAAATCAAGGCTCAGGTCCCTGCTGCCATCACTCCATACCCTAGGTGAGTGCCTGAGTCTGATGGCCACCGTCAAACCCACTGTGTTGCAGAGTGAAAATTCACATCATAGCCAGGAAGGCTGGCAGAACACAGCGCTTGACATGAACCAACCTGGCCTTTCTTTGTGCTTTTTTAAAGTTCAACATCTGGCAAAAGCCACCTTCGTTCCATTTATCATGAGTAGCCACACAAGTTATACAATGGACTTGGGTCAACAACAGGACACAGCAAACACAAACTACAGCTGCCCAGCTCAGACCAGCTGGGCAAAGAAGGGCCAAGGAGACAGACGCAGCTCGAAGTATAATACAACCTCTTGTATTAAGGGAAAGTTGGCTACAGAAATATCGGGAGCAAGAGTTCTGTCAAGAAATGGAGGAGGTTTTGGGGTGGTTTGACTTACTGGAGCAGAGTATTTAGTAAGTGACTAGCTGGACAGCAATGAACAGGCTGGAAGGGCTGGTTTGATTTGAGATAGAAGGGGCCAATTCATGCTTTGCAGTGTTTAAGGGCTGGTAGGACAACTTTAGATAGCCTGTGCCCTAGTGGGACATTTCTCTCTAGTGAGTTCAGTCATTGCTTCTTAGTCAAACAGCATCTCTACTTCATTTTAAATGCATTCAGCTTTGAAAAGGGTAACTCCTTCTGAGGTCTGTACTCGTCTGCATGCCAGCTTGCAGCAATTTAATCAAAACCAAAAGCATATGTCGACCATATTTATTTTGAAAAAAAAATATTTTGCTAAAATTCTGCATGAGATTGTGAAATGAGCATACCTTGACTACAAAGTATGACTTAATCTATATGAATATGAGCATGCAGGACTCTCTTTTTGATGCTTGCTACTGTTTTAAACATATGATTGCTGTTGCTGAAATTTTCTGTAAAAGGTAATTAGTCAAAATAACAAACATTCCATTTTTGCACCCGTAAGATATGGTGGGGCTTGTAATTCAGCAGTATTTTCTTACAGATTTTGCCTGATGCACAAAAGAGATAAGTGCTGTCATGTTACACATACAGACATTTGTCAGAACACATAAAGAAAATAAATCCTCCTTTTGCTAAAACCACACATTATTAGCCTGTAAAAAAAATCTTACGTCCTTTTATTTATTAAAATGAGACTAAAGACCTGGTCTCTTGTGCAACACAGCAACTGTTTCAATGTTATCTTAAAAAGCATTTTGACTTGGTTCAAAGAAATGTATGACTTTTCATGTCAGTGTTCAAAAGGAAACAATGCAGCACTTTCACACGCTTTACCCTACTGCTTTAAACCTCTGTGGCGTCATAATACAGTGGTTTTCCAAGGGCATTTTCAGAGATAAAGGGAAGTGACCTGGCTGACTGGTCACCACTTTAAGTAGGGTTGCATGCACAGGTGACAAACCCTGGTGTCCTTTTGCTTCCTGCAGGGTTACTTAAATTTATAGCAATGTGAAGGGTAGACTTTGCTCCATTTCACACATGGCATGAATGTACCAGTACATTTTCACCTAGATCACTTCTGTAACTAGTGAGATCTTTAACTGATAAAACAGGGATTTGTGTATTCCCTTTCCTTCTATGCACCTCTCTTCTCTAGCTTCTGTAGGAAAATGTGTAAGAACCAAGAGTTATTTTCCAAAGCATGCATTTTTAATTCCTCAGGTTTATATTGTCAGAAATCAGCAATATTTATTAGAGAACTCAGTAAAAACCCATTAATGACAATCACAAACACTGTCTTTACGAAAGATCATGACACAGTTTTCCATTTCATGTTTGTTTTCTCTTGCAGATTTTGGTCTTGGAAATAGGCTGAACTACACAGATTATCTACTAGCAGCCAGTTTACACTTTGAGGTTTAGCTTTTGTAAACACCAAGCCCTCATTCTAGCAGCTTGCCCATTTGTGAGGACTGCAAAGCCGGGATGAAGTACTTTTAGGATCTCTTCAATATAGCCATGGGAACAGAAAGAAGTTTCAGCACGCATGACAACTGAATCCAGTGTTCTACTGAAAATAGTACAATTAGCTCTGGGCAATGAGGGACAGTTCTGGATCTGATCCCAGCTGTGCAGAGGCGAGCAGAGATTTTTCCCTGAGGCAGTGCAGTGGCACGGGCTGGCACAAGCTCTCCTGCAGAAATGAAGACCCACCCAGTCATCAGCCACCTTTGCCTTCATCTTCCTCCACATCTGCTGCCCAAAATACAGGCTGAGGAAATCCCCTCTTACATCTATTCTAACTAAAGAGGCATAAGTAGCTCAGTCAGCTCTTTGTGGACCTCTCCGTGGGGCAGAGTTCTTAATGATCTTCATGCTCTGAATCCCATGTCTGTCATGTTTATTCTCTCAGTACCCTTACCCGCTGTCACCTAATCTGCTCCAAGCATGCTTGCATTTTGGGAAGTCCCACTGCCCCTACTAACTGGAATATAAATAACTTTGAGGTGTGTTTTCAGAGGTAATGTCCTTCTAAGTTTGTGAATTAAATGGATGTCAATTTATTAATAAAACTTTACTTGTAATTTTAAGGACATACCCACCAACATGGGGAGGAGTTGCAAGTTTTGATAGCCTCAGCTGAATTTATGGACAGCTAAAACTTTACTCAGCATATATGTGACAAACATTAGTAAATTGTTTGGCATAGTACCAGTAGCACGTACAATTGAGCAACATAGGAGTGAAAAAGAGACAGTGTGGGATTTTTACCAAATAAAAGTATTCCTCGAGATGGTATGTCTAGGTCTCACAATGATTCATTCATTCAACCTTAAGCAGCATTGATACAAAATATCAAGAAAAATGGTAAATACATAAATCCCCACCAGGCTTGGATATTTCTCTGGAAGCTATATTCCAGACATGTACTGATACAGGGCTTAGTACAAAAATGTACAGCCTGAGTTATATGAGAAGCCAGCGCTAACTGTACTAGTTCCCTGGTCTTTAAAAACATGACTAGGAGTCAGTTCTTGACAGACTTGTTTACAAATGAAAATTTTGTTAACAGTAAAATTCAACATTACCTGACTGACAAACATGAGAAGGAAGTTGGCCATTAGCTTGCTTATCTTTGGACAGCATGACAGGTCTCAGCTGATGTGACAGTATCATTTCATTCAATTTTTGCTGCAATGCTAAGTAGTCTTCAGATAATTTTGATATCTGAAAAATGTAACACAGGATTTTACCTTATTATATACGTAAGTATACCTGTTTCAAGGTAGTCAAAGGTAAAATAGTGGACTAGAGAATTAATTTAAAAGGTATTGCTTCACCTGCTACACTGCAATGTAGACTCCTACCACATTTACCTCCCCATGCCCCTTAAAAGAACAAAACAGACAAAGGAAAAAATGGCACATAGGGAAGTCCACACCGCAGCCCAGTCCTGCAGCTACTTCGTACTGATTTACTCATGTGAGCAGACAGTGCCTTGCTGACGCAAAATAGCTTCTGCAGCTGTAGGCTCACCTCTCTGCACATGCATGAGTCCTCGGCATCAACACAGACACTTTTAGTTTCAGGCATTTCACAGGTTTACTGAATTAAGTGTCTTGCTTGGTAAACATGCATTTCAACAAAGACGAAGCTTCTGCATTCAACATAAACCAGGTTAAAACTAACAATTTTTTGCCAGTGCTCTAACTTTGTCTTTCCCTCCTTCCTGAAAAGGGTATTTTCTCTTGCAGCCCAAAATATGCATTTTTATAGAACACTCATTACAAAATCTCAGTTTTAGTTTAGAGTAAAACCCCAGTGCCAGTAAAACCAGTAAAATAACTGCCATTCTGCCATTGCTCAGAGTATTATACTCAACATATGTAGCTTACAAGCCTCTTACCTGCTGCGAAAAGGCTGCCAAATCACAAGCCTCTTTCTCCGAGTGTCCCTTCAATGTCTTTGAGTCTTCAGCCTCTGTACCTGTGCTTTCCTGATCTTTTATTGTTTGGGGATCATTATTTTGCATGCATACTGCTTCTGTTGGCTCCTTTATAGTTTTCTCTTGACATTTGCAAGGTAGTTTCCCTTCTTTTCTGAGTTGTCCCCTCCTTCTGTAATCCCGATAACTGCTCTGAATAACCACTGCTGCCTTCTCTTCGTCTTCTGAATCTTCTTTTTCTGCCACAACTTGTTTCCATGAGTCTCTTAGTGACTCTTTTCTTATAATTCCTTTACATCCCGTAGGCCTCACTGCTTCATGTTTCAGATGGTTTCTTTCCACATCCCTGTCAGTCCTGGGCTGGACCACAGCAGATTCTTGATTTTGCTCATCCGCACTGAGTCTGTCTCGATTATTTCGCTCTCGCTTGGGACTAGGTTCAGCTGTGATTTTGACAGAAGATTTGCTGGACAACTCTTCCAAAGAGGCCTGTTCTTCACCTTCACCAACGTGTTTTCTTGCACGGTTCTGCTTCACGGAAGCTCTCGCTCCTTCAGTAGATGTTTTCTGTTGCTCCTGTACATTCCCTGTGTCACTGTACCCAGAGCACTCGCTGTCAGTAACAGCATCAGCTTCGTCTTGAGTCTCCTCGTCTGCTGCTTCTTCCAGTGTATCATTTTGAGCTGGCTGCAGTTGTGCTTCAAGGAATTCCACAGCAGATAATTCTTCCTCTGCTATGTTTTTGCACTGTTCCTTTATTTTTTTACGGACTCTGTAGCCTCTGTAATTGCTCTGAACAATGACAGCTGCTTCTTCTTCCGTTTTAGGAAGGGCACTCTTCGCTCCAGCTGGACTTTCCTCATTCTCTTGAAGTTCTTCATCCTTTTCCTCTTCGCTAATGGATGCTGCACTTTCAGTTTGTTTCTTGCTAAGTGATTCCCTGAATGGAATAGTTTTGAGCAAAAATTACAGCTGAAGGAGATGCAGGGTAGTGACAATTTTAAAACTACCTTTGGTGATGTCTGCATACTTAATGGCAAATGGGAAAGATTTAGTGCATGTAGCTAATTAAAGATCGCAAACCAATCTCTGTCTTTCTGATGATTATTATTTCTTCAAGTGAAAAGGAACATCCCTGTTAAACTCTTCACAGAAAATTGCTAGGGGGACAATCTAGGCTGCATGAGGGCTGACAAAACAGTAAAGAATTAATTTAAATGTTAACAAAAACATAAGGCAGAAATTTTTTAGCACCTCAAATATGTATAAATATACACAATCCTAAATGTATTCATGAAAGAAAACTTCATCAAGTCACACTAGGAATGCAAAAAGAATGATCCTGGGCATAGGCCCAGGTCAAATTTAAAAAACCCATTCCCTAAACTGTCTTTGTTACTATCAAGAAAATTTCAGTGCCAAGTTAAATCTGCCACTCTGTTCCTTCCCTCTGAAAGACTCTGGACTTCTTCACAACTGTTTTCCACCTACAGTTGTGATGAGCAAAGTACTACTAGCTCCATTTCAGAGACTGGGACTACAACCACATTGCAGAGATATTTAGAATGTGATTCATCTCACCTAACTTTTAGCTGTTTGATCTGAGCAAGACGTCTGGATTCCCGCTGTCATCACCTATGCTTATCCCAAACAGCGACTTAAGATGAGAAGAACAGTTCATTGCAGATGCCTACTTCTCGCTCTTGTCTGAGCATTTTTATGATGAGCTAGTTTCAAAAAGACTCATCTACAGATTACATTAACATTACAGGTAAGCACAATATTGTTGATCTTTCCCCTAAATATGCTTTTATTCCCTGGGCTTAAAAATACAAGAAAGTTTGCTACTGACATTAAAAAACTCCACATAAATGTACATTACCTCTGCATACATATCTAGAATAATCCTAATTTCTTTCACTTTTCTGTAACGTTGCTGTTCAGCACCGTAGTAACTGAAAAGGGACACATTTAAGTGACATAAGAGATATAAAATAATACTACCTCCTCATTTCAAAGGTCTTCCTCTCCTTATATCCCCTGTAGTGAGACTGAACTGTTATTGCTGCTTTGTTTCTTGTTTCAGTTAGTTCTTTTCTCTTCTTCCTGAGTAAGTATCCTCTGGCAACTGATACAAATTGTAATACAAAACAATCTTAGGCAACAAGCAATGGGTTGATGTCCCACACATTTCAGAGAGTCAAAAGAGCATTAGACAAAAAACAATAAGGAAATACAGACTGGAGTGGTTATTATGATTACAGTTCATCTGAAATTATTCTGTCCCACAAAACTTCTTTGAGATTTCAGAAAGCTGTACCCATTCTACATGAGGATACAACCAAGCTCTTTCTTTGTACTTTGTTGGACTAAAGAAAATACAGGAAGATGCAGAATGAAGCAGAACCCCAGTGCTATAGAAGTACCTCTACAACACAGTGCACTCAGATTCATGTACCTGCTCTGCTTGATTCAGGCAACTGGTTTGACTGAATCTTTAATTTCCCTGGGAAATGCCTGATTATCAAGCCATAGAGATTACCAGGCTCTCTTCTGGCAGAGACTTGGAATTAGCTGAACATTCAATAGATCAGAATAAAACTTAACATTTCATAGCTCAGTGGATACAGAAGACTTAGCTCATGCTCCTTTTCCAAAGAGTCATTATTCAAAATGAAAAAGCTCAGCATGAAAGACGTTCTAAGCTCCACAGTAACCAGGTACACTGTGGCAAGGGTACTTGCTACTTCTTCTTTGTGGGAGGCACAAGTTCAAGTTTCTGGGCTGAACCAGGATGGATAAGGACTCAAACATGGGTGTCCCCTGAGACATGAAGGTGCTGACTAGTCACTAGGGGCTTGACGCAGTTGCTGGCCCATAGGTATCTAGTGCCATCTGAAGTGTTCCAGGATAGCCAAGGCATCTACATGTAGCTGGCAGAAGGAACAAGACAGATGTGACTTTCTGGAGAGAGAAAGTTGGGTACACTACATGAAATAAAGCCGGAAGCCAGGCAAGGCAACCTAGGGCATCTCAAATGACACTAGATAACTATATGGGGGCAAATGAGCTGAGCATTCGGTAGTTTTGAATAAAATGAATCCAACTCTAGGCTCTGCTGACTATAAAAGGAGTTTAGACACCTAGGTCACTTTTAGACACTTACACTGAGGTGTCTTAATCAGAAACTGAATTGCATTCAGAATGTTGCTTCAAAAATTCCTGAACTTGCAAATAATTTCCTAAGGGGAACTGGCACAGTCTCCACAGTGCTGTGATTTGGACAAGTCTGCAATTCCAGGGATTCAGCACAAATCCACTAATCCCTGACAAAATAGAAAGACCATAGTGCTTTGTTGAAATATTTTTGTTGAATTCTAATTCCAAATGCAGTACCAAGACTATAGGGATAGAGGATTCAGGTGATTTAAATACCCTGAGGAGATGGTAGATATGGGAGCTCTTACTCCAACTCTGCTGAGAGTGTTTTGCATCACAGGAAAAGGTCAAGCTCACTTAAGAATGGGAAGGGAGCATAAGCAGTCTATCCTAACACATTCATTCAACTTGGTGCTAGGTTTTATTTGCTTTAGCTTTCCCTACTCATAATTTAGATCATCTTGGACTCCACTAGATGCAGTGGGTCAGTGTAAGAAGCACTGTATAAAAGGGACATAAATTACATCTTGATTATTGGATACATGGTAAAGGAACCCAAATACTTACGGAAGTGGCACAGTCAGTTTTTAAACTGCAGTCTGACAGGGCCTTAGAAAAGTGCAAATTATAAAGCCCTTGCAATACTTCTAGAGTTTCTTGGGCTTCTGAGTCTATCCTCATTCCATTTCCATACAAAAGCAACTCAACAAGAGTAATTTTGAAATAAATCAAGTTATGTTATCAATGGACTTGCCACTGTAAGCTAAGTCTGGACTTTTTAGACTTATTCTGGTTCACCTTTGAGGTTTCCTGAGAACTTTGTTATGAGATAGTAGCTGTCTAATCTTTGTTTTCAAACTGGAAGAGTTTTGTATTCCTTTAGAAATAAAGGCGGGGGGAGGGCGTGGGAAACAGAGAACTAAGTAAAAATGGACTTCCATTTTGTTCTGGTTTCTTGTGCACTGGAAAGTTGAAATCAAACTGCACGCAGGACAGAGAAGGTGGACAAGAAGAAACATTGGGGAGATCAACAAACAGAGCAAAGTGGTAAATTCATACTTTTGCCTTTGCTGAATATCCTAATATAATTGACAACTTTCAGGTGTATAATTATTTTTGGCATATCACTGGTTTTTATTCTGGTTTTAGATTGTTTTCTACACTGAGGAGGTTATACCAACTGCAGTGAAGTGCTCTTCAGCATGCACCAACATAGGCTCAATGCACTTAACAGATGCATCTGACTGATTAAAACCAGCACTGGTGTTGGGTATATACTCATGAAGGCATGTCTGAGGTAGTTTAAATGTAGATAGCCTGGGTACTGGTAGCACGAGCTTATATGTGGGGTTGCCACATAATTTGCACATTTGTGCCAGCTGTTTTCAGACCTGTGCCTCTCCAGTTGTACTGCTGCTGATTTCAGAGCTGCCTGGACTACATCTGGCTCGGGGACATGTCTGCAGGGATGGGGGAGACAGAAATATAGGGAGGAAAAAGGAATGTCACACAGCACACATCTGGGGCCAAGGTGATTATTTATGCAGAACAGAAGGAATATTTGGTAGGTTGGATCAAGCAATGGCACAAAGGAATCAGAAACAAGAGTGAAATTACAGATTGTAGTCTTTTCAAACATAACTGTTACTGATATGTAACAAAACCTATTCCTAACAGAATAACATGCACACACACATTATATGCAGATAGTGTCATATGGGTCTTCAACAATACCAGCTGTAATACTTCATCATATCAGACTAGAAGTGAAAAGCCTTGCTATGGCATTGAATCAGCCCACTTCAAAGCTGTGGAAAATGCCTCTAAGCCACTCCAAGGTACAGATAACAGAATACATTGAGCCGTTTAGACCACTGTATGTAGATATATAATTGATAAATTATACCTCAGAACATGTAAATGAACACAGTCAGTGTAGCTAGGTAATAGCAAAGAATCTGGATCAATGTATTGTGTATGGATAGCACATTAAAAGCCATGAAGGCAAACAATTCTTACTTGCTTGAAGTCTAGTAATATATTCTTCCACTTTTTTATTACGTTTTGCATTTCTGTATTCTTTACGAGCAACAAAACCCCTGTAAGCTGAAAAGAGATGCCAAAATTTAAATAATCCATTAGGTACTCAAAAGGCTGTAAGAATAAAAAAAGTTTGGAAGGAATTACGGACCTCCATTAAAATATTTATAAATATTTTGCAGGCTCTATCTTTCAAAAAAATGGCAAACAAGCACAATCAGTAAATCTACGTAAAAACTATGTTTTCTGGTGAGTAAAGTTGTTATGAATTAAATGAATACAAAACACCAGAGAATCATAATGTAATGTAAGATAATGTTTAAATGTATTAAAAATTTCAGTTGATGTCTTTATCAATAGTGTAATTGGTATTATTATCTAGGCCAGTTAAAATGTTTTATTTTCATTATTATATTATACAACCCTGTCAGAGCCAAAATATTATTAGTAACAGTATCATCTGTGCAATCACTTCCTTCCATTGTTAAAATTGCCTTTTAAATATAACATTGATAAATGTAACGTCAGTGAAGAGATTGTCATATCCTGGTTAAAAGAAATTTTTCTTCATAAGAACAGATATCAACATGTATAAGATATTTTGTCAAATGTAACAGCAGGAAAACAGCAAAATCCATATCCAGCATGCACATCCATCTATCAACTGTACACATGCACTAGCTTTAAACAAAATGTTAAATGTTTTAAAGCTACTACCTGACTGTATTTTAATAGCACTTTGTTCCCTTTGTTCCTTTATCTTTTTGTATCTCCTTGAACACAGCCACCCTCTGACACAAGCTTGAATCAAAATAATCATGTCGACTGTCTCCTTCCGCATTAAATTTAGCTGTTCCACGTGATAGTATTTGAGGAATACCTTAAAAAGAGTAGGCAGACAAGCAAAAGTTTTAGTTACCTTCCCAGGTGCTGTATTCACTCAATCCATTTAACATCAACAAGAGTTACAAGCTGGTTTCAAATGATGGACACTTTAGCTGTAGTACCTAAAGGATCATTCTTGTTAAAGATGATCTTTGATTGTCTGGGGTATTAGTTTACCTTACTCTCCCCTTCAACATCTTCTGTCAGTCCTTGTTTATTCATGCTTTCATGGGAAGGTGTTTTAAAGTCCCAATGCAAAACTTCAGTCTGTAACTATAAATCTGTTTTCAAAACTATGAGGCTGACAGTTTTGCTAACTCACAAATCTGATGTATGTTACATAAATGTGATCCAAATCTGGAACTTTCAACCTCTTTGATTTTCAGTTTTAAATCTAAGGCATTGTTTATTTACTAAATTGCTTTTATCAAGCATGAAGCTCATATAACCCCTGAAAAACTACTCCAGCACAAGAGATACAAATACATTCCTGGTGTATATTAGGATAAAATAAACTGTGTAGAAAGAGCTTGTGTGATTAAGACAATAATTACGCTTATTTTGCAGAATTCCCCTGACCTTGATCACTCATTGGTACAGATACAGGTTAACTCTAATTAAAGTAAACATAAGCTATAGATCTCACATCTCAAGATATGCTTCCTTTGGCTGCATGTTGTCCATTAGCCTCACTAAGACAGCAGAGGGAAAGAAAGATTGAGGAAGAGGATAACTTCATGGCTTCTGTCCCACCTATCCAGGAAGATGTCTCAAAAGAACAGTTGTTTCTTCTACACTGAAGTCATTTCAAATAGATTTGGATCCATCTTTCTCTCTATCCATATCCTTCCTGGGCACTTCTGTTACACCAGCAAATAGAAAGACTTGGTGCAGTACTTGCCTGATGCTTCTTTTCTCTGGCAGACCTCCTGAGATCTGTCAGTTGGGGTGGATGGGTGTCCCTCTCTGTCACACTGGGAAGACTAGTGAGCTTGAACCAAAAAGCAAGAGTATGGGAACAGGCAAGTGGTTCTCTTATAAATAGTTCCACTTCGCATATATGGCATCATCCTGCTAATTCTTCCCCCAGTGCTCATCAAAGTCTGCCACAGAGGCCTCAGGCTGAAAAGCCAAAACCTTTTTCTCTCCCTTTGTGAGTCTGGTTGCCTCATGGAAGAAGTATAACTTCTTTTCCTTAAGAACGCTTGTACTGAGCTCACTGGGATCCTTACTACCACATTTTTTGGAAGAAAATGCAAGCAGTGTTGTCACATACTGCTTTGCACTGTGGCCTCACTAAAGCTTATTAGAATTTTAACACTTTACAGGGTCAGGATTTCAGCCAGGTATCAGGGAACAGTACCCAGCAAAGCACAGTTTTTTTAAACTAATAGAGACCAAGATCTACCCCAACCAAATGGGTGAGAAAACATATTGCTTAGTAAGTTAACAATGGCATACTGCAATAATATACAGTATATTAATATTAAAAAATTACTTTTGTTTTTCCAAGAACCCAGTTGTCAAGGCGGGCTTTTTCCAAGATGGCAGCACAGGTTTCTGGGCTGACTGGAGGATCATCATTTGTCTTGTAACAGATGAGGTAATACCTAAAGACAAATATATAATTTTTTATTCTATAAATGGCAAGCAATAGATACAAATAGATTTAAACCATTCATTTAAATAATAAAAGTAGTTGCATAGAAGAAAACATAGCACTGAAAAAACCAAAACAGCATATGAAAGAAAATGCTATGATTTATATGCAGTACTGAGAAACTCAGTCAAAAGTGGATGAACGACCTATTGCACACCCTGGAGGGTTGTTTATTTCTATATCAACACCAGGAGGCTTTTAAAAAGTGTGCAACCCAAGCAGAGCTCTGTACCAGTTCTTGCTGCTCTAGCTCTCTGCATTCTGTGAAAGTGATTTCAGTGGCAAAATAAAAATATTTTTAAAGCTTTTCTGCCTAAATTGTCTTATTTCATATGTAGAAATGTCATGAAAATTTGTTATCTCATCTCATGTGCTAGACCATCCTTTTGAGACAGTTAACATGTGAGACGCATCCAAGCTCTTATTACCTCCTTGGATTCAGCTTTGCAGATCTTTCTGGAACACATACATGCCGTTCTGACATTTCATGCATAAGCATTCAATTTGGCAACTGATTACTCAGAATTAACTCTGACTAGGAAAAGAGGTCAGGATGCTCACACATAAAAATTATCCATAATGTACCAGCTCGGCTGCTGGGTAGGAAAGTTCTTATGTGTCCCAGGACTTTCCAAAATGCTCCATAACAAAATGAAACATACCTGTCTTGTTTGTTTTTAATTCAGGAAAATTACATGAATTATGTGTCCTTCCTGAAAGTACATTCTGCTTTTTTCTTGTTATTCAGCCTTTATACACGAAGCTTGGGTTGTACCAGCTTTAAATAATGGTAACAATTTTCTCATGGAATAATAAAAAAAGAGACAATGTTGATTCCTGCATTATCACCAATTCCTACAGATCTTTTTTTTTTTTTTTTTTCTTTTTACTACACAGTGAATTGGCTTATTTTTATTCTAACAAAATAATTTTGCCATTATCCCAGGTCTACCTGTAACTCTCAACTATTAAAAAAGAAGACAAGGAGACAGATACTTAATAAAAATCCCTTCTGTTTGAGGACCATATTCTCAGTATTGGAGATCTACCCAGACTCACTGCAATCAGGGGCATGCTCCCTGGAGAGCTACCCTGTTATGTTCACTGCTTTCCTCTCTTTTACTTGAACAGTAAAATTTTTTATAAAAAGCAGTGACCAGAAGCCAAGTACATCTTGGTGCAGTGATAACTACCTTTTCCCATGCTGTACTCTTCCAAAACAGTAATAGTCCCAGGATTATCCTTTCCAGAAACAGTGTTATAAAAACATCACTTTGTTTTTCCCCGCTCTCCTCATGCTCCTGCAGCACTCTGCTGCTAGCTTGCTGCCAGCTCTCTGTTTCTAGTGCACTATTACTTTTAAGGGCTTCTGTCTGAATGGGTGTTGCTTGCTTCTTCCCTGTTCTGATCTCCATTCCACAAATCTCAGTTCTGATTGAGGCAAATACTCAGGGTCTTTATTTGTGAGAGAAGTACAGACTAAGTGCTCAGGATTAATATTTGGGGTTGGAGGAAGAAGAGATAGTTAAAGGAATTATAAAATCACAGTCAGTTCATTACTCTTCTTCTCAACAAGTGACTAATACTTAAGAACTATATTTTAAACAAAACTATCCACTTAATGAACTTCTCAGGCCTAGATTAGCAATATCAAATTATCATCCACACTGAACAAGTAGATGCTGCACAGTGCTGAATGTCAGGAGCTAGAGAAATTGGTACTTCTTGGATGCTATTGGTCCAATTTCTCAGCTGTAATTTGAAGCATTACATTTCTAAACCTCAAGTCTTTGAAGAAGTCTTTGTTATCCAGTCTGTAATCTTTGTCACAGGAAACATCTTTGTGCTTTTTCTTTAAAGACCATGCCAAAGACAGTGCTGATGCTTAGCAAACACTGGGCAGCAATGATAGGAGAGAAAAAGGCTTCTTCACATCTATGTTACCGTTTTATGAAGTTAGCGAACAGTATACGGTGTGAATAACCCTGTCTTCGAATTTTTGCCGTCTCCAGAATTCCTGTGTAACGCAGCTGAACCAACACTTTTTCTTTATCAAACTTGTTTGCCTGCCGGTCATTGTTTGGCTTGATGCACCTGACAAAATGAGGCTGGCCGACGACCATTTTGGATAACAAATCCATCAGAGAGTACTGCAAGAAAGTAACAAGATATCTGCCACCAGGATATTTATCAAACTTTTATATAGGTTCATGTGTAACTGAAATTTTATTTCATATGATCAGAATCATGTCCAGACCCATTTACCAGTAAGCTGGTACTTTAATGGTAGATGAAGTAAATGACCCAACAACAATTCTAGCTTTGATAAGATCTCTAAGTTACTAGTGTATGCTACTTGAGAGAAATACTGATTGAAAACAGATGTACCAAATTCCACCCAGATTATTCTCACAAACTGCCATAATGTCTAACATATGATAGAAACTCTCCTTATACTTATTTGTTTCTCTTGGAGCCTTGTTAGGTAATTATAGCCCACTTTTTCTTCTTCTTCTTGTCACCTATTTGAAGATCCTTACTCACTGAGAGAGTAAATCATCTGTCTGTGGATGGGAAGTGGAAGAGTGGTCAGCCAGTAAATATTGCCATCCCTTCATTAGATTAGAGGAAATTAAGGCCACCCCAGAAGAGGGGGCCACAGTAAACAGGACTACTCTGATCTAGCACATCCTGTTCATCGTATAAGCTGATGGTGATACTATAGCTGCCTTGCCAAGAGGAAACTTTTGAGGAGGGCAGACTAGAAGTACACAAAATTACAATTCCAAAGTTGCACTTTTCCAATCTCACCAGGGTACCAGGCTAGCAGAAAGGATGCAGTTTGTAGCTCTCCATGCCAACTGAGATAAATCTGGTTGTAAAGAACCTTGACTAGTGTTTTGTAAAATTGCTTCATGGGAGGACTGTATTAAAATACAAATGAAGAGGCTCATTCCTCAAGATTCAACCTGACTCAACATAGAGAGACAGCCAGGAGCTAATGCAGTTCAGCAGCAGGTTGAATACAGGAAACTAGTGTAGGACATCAAGAGCCATATGTTTCCTATTAAGATGTGCAATTCCATTCTGGACAGACGCTGCACCACGCAGCAAAGTGCTTAATTATCTTCATCACTAGTGTGCCAACAGAACACAAACAAGTAGGACATGCTAATGGATATTTTTTTTTTCCATTCAGTCTGAGGTGGCAGATGCTTTTCTTAATCACCCATAGATTTCTGTGTATGAGTAAACCAGTGGAGCTGAAGTTGAATCTTCATTTAAGGGCATTAGCTAGCATTATCTGAGCAGGAATTTCCACTACAGAAAATAATAACAGAAAAGTGTAAATATAAGTAATTCATTTGCAGCCTTTGATGCTAGATGTGCTGGTAATGCACCAAATCAAACATTAGGTTCGAATGAGATTCAATAATTTTTTCCATCTAGAACTTTAAAACACCACGCAGCTTTGGACCACCATGATACCTGTGTTGAAATTATCCTTCACAGTCCACAAAGCTGTGCAATTGTATCTACTAAACAGAGATCTTGCTCCTTACTGCTCTCTGTCATAGATGTAAATAAACTCTTATGGGTCATGAACATTACCTCAGCCACCTTTAAGTTTTTGCTGGGAGAGATAACTGGATAAGAGTTGGAAATTCAGAGCTGAGCCCAAGTGAACCAACTCTGTGCACCACTTGGAGGAAAGAATGCTCTTCACAGCTATTTTCTGTTGCAGGACCAGCAGCACAGCCAGTGCTTGGGAAGGTCAGGAGCACTGCTGAGGGAGCCACAGGGGTGGCCTCTGACCATCAAGAAGTTTCTCTGGAGCTCCTGCTTCAAATTAACTTTGCCCTCTTGCTTCTTAAACCCTTAAAGAAATGCTATACCACTCATGTCCAACCTCTATCTCCCTTGGTGGAAAAACAAGCAAGTGAAAGATTAGTATCGATCATCATAGATCATCATGACAGAAATGTGGCCGTGTAATCAAGTACAATTAAAGATGAAACATCACAATCTCCTCTAGATATTTGTACTGCACAGACTTGCTGCACCATATATGCAGTTCACAAACTCGAAATGGATCACTGTTGACTCTAAGTCAATAGGTGCATTTCAAAAGATGAAAGAATAAACATTCATTCTACTCTAGAAAAATTTATTAAAAGATCTGCTATCTTACTCTAAAATAAGAAGCAACTGTCTGTGTTTTCATGTTGGTTGTCTCTCTTGGATGATGTCCTGTATCTCCTGCTTCATTCTATAAAGATGAAGAAAGAAAATGACACTTTTTATCTCTGTTGAGCCTGTGGTGTACTTTCAAAAGTCATAATAAAGCACCCCTCGGAGAACATCATTAATTAAAAAAGAAGTATTCTTAACAGAAAAATTTACAGGATGATCACTAGCACAAATCAGTTACACCAGTACATTACATTATTTTGCTACAAAATACACAAACATTCACATACAGAGGACACAATTTGATAACAGAGCATCTAAATAACTGCCACAAAAAACCCAACCATGTCTGAGGTCCTGTCTGTTATTTCATCATCATTGTTATTTTGGTAGTTCTCTGAGGAACTTGACTACATTCCACACCGGTATTTTAGTTTCTCTTTCTGCTACAATAGAGTTAGGAGATAATATTTTTTTTCCGCTGAGTTTGTTATAAAACTATAGCAAGAAAGAAGGGAAATGTTAGGTTTTTACCTCACGGAAGGAATATGAATTGCACAACACAAAGATATCCAGCTAAACAGAAAAGAAAATAGGAGAGGGAGAAAAACCAAGGAAGGGGTTACTTGCTTACTTTCAGTACCAATAACAGTATTGCCTTTCTAGTTTAAATTAGGGTTCAGTGCAGAATCACACCATCAGTTTTCTTACCTTTGTATGACTGACTGATTTCTGGGGGGGCCATATTTGGTAACTGATTGTAGTTTTGCTTTTAGTGTGTGCCAGGTTACCTACGGAAAGATGAAAGAAAGCAACCTACCAAAATGCTTATACCTCATCTAAACTGAAAACTGTGCTGAACCACCTTATTCATGCCCCCAGTGTAACCATATGATTATAAAGGTCGTTGACTTTTTCGGAGTATGTCCTCATTTCCCCTTTCAGCCTTGAGACAGAACAAGCTCTGAAGAAATTGCATGAAGATGGAACATGGGCTGAATTTTCCTCCTTCAGCCTTATGTCACCTACTAGAGGAAAAAAATAAACAAACACGCTGCTGCAGAAGTTAAGAAAGATACATCTTAGAGCATACATGTGGTTTTACCCAAAGGATGTTATTGTACTATTCTAGTTATAAGGCTACATATATATTAATTTTTAAAAAAAGCATCAGCACCCTTCTCTGGCCCTGAAGGCAAGTGACATGGTATGACTGATGTCTATACAGCTAAACTCTACTTCACACTCTTTTAACCTCCTGGTAAAAATAAGGTTGTATCTTTCTACAGAGCTTGTTGGAAACTATTGCTGGCCCGTGCTTTCCCTTGGAGCATGCCTGAGTATTTGTGGGAGACTTCTAGCTGACATGGTCCAAAACTGTCCCAGGGAGGCATGCTAATAATTAATCAGAATGGCCAATCTGGTGGGAGTGTTTTAGCTACTGTTCACTGGCCCTGTTTGGTTTACTAGCATACAAATAGACTTAAGACTCTAACCTTGGAATTTCAATCAGTTAACACCTTTATTATGACTACCTGAAGGACTAGGCGCATTGGATTGGTTTACACAGACACTGGTCTTCTAAAGGAATAATGAAAACTCTGCTAAGCTTTCCTCCATGTCACTTTATGTTGATAGAGCTCAACCATTGCTGCATTCTGCCCTTGCTTCTGCTAATAACATAACACCACTGGAATTTCACTCTCCACTGGGAGAGCCTGTCATCTCTTTGTGCTCAGCTAGTATCAGTAAGAGGTAGATAAGAGTTGGATAAACAGCTGCAAAAATAAGGCATGCCGATCTAATGCATCATGTATTATGTGATGATATCAGGTGCTAAACCTCCCTTAGGCTTAGCTGTGTATCACAGGGTGGGAAGGAAAGAGGGAGGATTACTCACACCTAATTTAAGATGTCTGAAAGTAAGGTGTCTACAGGATTCCCACTGTAGTCAGTGGAGAGGCACCTTCAGAGGAGATTTATCCCACCCAGACAGAAACATCTGAGATAGGCAAGATGGGCTGGACTCTGGTTAAAGCTCTAAGTTTCCACTGGTTCTAGATTAATAACTTAGATCAGAAATCTAACTTTTTGTTGGCTATTGCTGTATGGTTTGCGTCAGTTTTAAAAGGCTATACACAGTGTTTAATAATATTTAACAAGAAGACTAAAACAACCTTCAGAGTTGTCTTGCAAAACATTATTGGGATCAGTTTTTGGGACCATTTGGGCCTGACTTCTGCTCTACAGAAATTATAGTTTAGTATCTTGGCAGATATCAACAAGTCAAAAAGTTCAGGCAAGGACAGCGAGCTCAGTGTTTTCCCAAGAACACTGACTTAAAACAGAGCTTCAAAACCAAATTTTGCATTCCACCAGTGAAGCTCCCTTTGTGAAGAATAGGAGCCTTGCCAAAACCTCAGTTTCTGCAAGCTACGATAACATTTTAGAGAAATTTCCATTACGCTCTTCCAACTTAGCTTTTCTGTTCTGCTACATCTCCCATGTAGTTGTACAAGACAGTAATGGTGTAAAGTACTTACTGTATGGCATCAATGCTATTACAGAGTTGTATTACAGTGAGTAATACAACACAATAGCAAACTGGTTGTAAGGAGACTTACCCATCATCCTAAAATGGCAGGTAGGACACTGTGCAAGGACCTAGTTCAATTAAGGTGCAACTCAGGAGAAATTTCCATAGAGCCAGTCATATTCCTCCACCCCAACTTACAAACACCCCGAGGAAAGGCTCACTACTAGGACCCCATCAGTCACCTATTGTAAAGGACTAAAAGACTAGGGAAATAGAGGAGTGTCTCCTCACTCTTTCCAGCAGATGTTAGGAGCCTCAACCTTGGTTCTCTACTACTTTAGAGAAAAATTGCACTGAGACAAAACAGGCAATATATACATGCCCTGTCCAAAAAAGGCCACTGACTTACCCGATCCTTTCTGTTCCATCCTCAACTCAAGGGGTGCACACCACTCCCTGTCTTGCTCCCCTGCCCTGAAGAGAGGATCCAGAAAGAAGCCTCTACCACTTCCTTGACACTTGACCAGACAAATCCCTCCCTTGCAGTTTGAGATGGCTGGGGCTCCATTCTATATATATTCCAGGGTTGGAAAGTTAAGGCACAAAGTGTATAATGTCATCAGCAAATGGTCATATGAAACCTAGCACTGGCCATCACGAAGGCTAGAGAAGAATAAGATTACCACAGTAGCAGTACCTGTTTTTGTAAGAGGATGGGTTGCCAACTGTCGTGTCAGATTGTTTTCAGATGATCGCAGTAGAAGTACAATATCAGCTGGAAGAGTATCTCTATTTTTGGCTAGGAATCCACTTGCATTATATAGAACCTGTTTAAAAAGTGCATTTATGCATCTTCTGGGCTTTTAAAAAATAATTGTAAATTTAAGCACTCTGGCATGTGGCTTTTAATATGTCAAGATACAAAAATATTTTTTTAGCCATCAGGTTCACTCTTGCTTACAGTCTTCCTTTTGATCACTGAAAGTTCTAACTTTTCAATATTGAGAACCATTATGATACAGATCACTATAAGCAAATCCATCATTCCAAAGCAGCTTAAGACATTTATTTTCCTTAATGCCAGTGTGGATTTATCATGAGGAAAAGTGGATTATAGTCCTCATTTACACCAGTACATGTGTAAATGCACAATTAACAATGCACTTGCTGTCAACCATATCATGCATGATTACCCATATGACTGTACAATCTTTCTGTCCCATTCATATCATACTGTACTGGACCCAGGACTTAACGCTTCTCCTGGAGATCTCTGTATTAATTATAGAGGAAGTTTGCAAAATCACAAACAGCATATTGGTAATTGAAATCCCTCTGAAAATTCCAGGAATGGTGTACCTAACTTAAAATGTACCCCCAGGGCTCTATCTTAATGATACCATAAAGGACCCACAAAAAAACTTGGCCTATGAAGAAGGGTATAAAAACTTGGCATATTTAATTTAGAAAAAACCCTCACAAAACAACCCAGTCTTAAGTTGCAAAAAAGGCTTGTAAAGGAAGAGGAAATAAATTGTTCTCCAGTTCCACAGTAAACAGGACTAGGAGTAATGAACTTATATCACAGCAGTGGAGATACAAGTTAGACAGCAGAAGAAACTTCCGAATGAAAAAGCTTGTTGAACACTGGAAAGGGCTGTTAGGGCACTGGTGGAATCCCCATCTTTAGTGGCTGCTATCAGGAATGGTACAGGGAGAGCTGCCTCTTTGCTTCTCAGCAGTGAGACATGCTATGCTAATGAAGTGTAATTCAGCTGGAGTTGAAGTTCAGAGGAGTTAGTGCAGGCTTTTTGCAGCTGGCTGTCTTACACAAGTGGCAAGTTATTTTCCATCCACTGATGGGCAGTACGTTGTCTCTTTTCAGGCCAGCTGCTCCAGCACTGCACCAACCAAATACAGTTTCCTGTGTGAGACAACAATGTTCACTCAGTACAGCTCTAAAAGAGCTCAAAAGGAGGTGGGAGCTCCTGCTTTCACAAGTCAAGGATCAGGTGGCCAGTAGCACCTTGCCACAGTGCATCAGCAACTCCTCCTGAGTTTGAAAGGCATGTGCAGCAAGTCACCGAGTACAGGAGAGCAAGACAGTGCTCATCAAATGAAGCAGAAAGCAGGGCCTGCACTATCTGTCTGGTTGATGACAAAGTATAGAACTAAGAAGTAAGGCTGATGGGATGTAGGAGGTAGGAGAAAGAATGGAGCTGGGTCCTGATTCGAAGCAGTAGGAACAAATATGGCACAGGACTTTGAGGAAATACAGAGAAGAGCACTGAGTTGCATTACATAATGGTTGGTTTTGGTTCTGCTATAATGCAGTCAGTTCATTTACTTGGTGACATTTAAGAAAAATACATTCCTGCTACTGCTTTTTTTTTGTGAGAGAAAATAACTTTTCAATTTACTTTTGATGTGTAAGGCACTGCCAACATTTCCATGTCAGACCTGAATAGATGAAGGTTGAGAACCAACCCAGCTGACCTCTTCCATTTCCTCATACCCCTACCATTCCACAATCCCCAACTAATATCATTAGGTCTCTTACCTTTCCTGCATAATGGTAAATCCCAAAGGTTAGATCTACCCTTTTGGGCCTCCAAAAATATTTTGACTTCAAATTATCTTCAAATTTTTCTGAAAGGAAACATATCTCGCTGGAGTTACCGTACAATAATTGTCTTCAGAAGCTGTACCCCTCTAAAGATATTGCCTGACTTCTCAGACAACGCAGTGGCACAAAACAGACCGATGTTTTTAAGGACAAAGATACCATAATGGTCTTGTAACAAAAGGCACTGGATAGAGAATATGGCAGCTCTTGGATCAGTTACTTTGTACCATTTTTTTTCTGTGTGACCTCAGAAAATTGTTTGCCTCTCTAAACTTTTAATCTTCATATATGAAACAATGTAGTAATCCTTCCCTGAGGATTGCTTGGGGAATTGCGAGGAAACATTTACCAACTGATTGAGGGTCTCTGTACTGCAAAATAAAAAGTATGAGGATAGAAAAACAACAAGCTCATATATTTGCTTTAGCATGGGCATTGTTACTGGCTATTACTAGGTTTTGTGATTGGGTATTGGTTAAAACTCTCATTTGACACTTTGCACGTTCAAAAATAAGTAAAACAAGGATTTATCTGCGCAGAAACACCAGTGAAATAACTAAATCAACTGTAACTGCAACTACTCAGCAGCACTGCAATATTCGGGATCTGAACAACATATTTAGGCATTTTAATTTTAATTTCTGAATATAAAAAAAAACAGGAAGCATAATTTGCTGAAAGGCATTGAGGCAGATTTTCAACCATTACCCTTAAAAAGTACCAAAATTCTTGTTCAGATACGGCTCATCAAAAATTTCAGAGCTGAATATGACTCAACTTTGAAAACAGTGTTCTTGGCATATGAACCCAGAGCCTTAACTCAGTTTGATCTTTATCTTTCAAGCCCTGCAGCTAAAAATTCCTGAAGGTAGGAGAATTCAAAACCTGAACTAGCAGCTTAGGTTGATTTGTACTTTTGATGTTTTTCTGTCAACTTCAAAGACACATCCATCCCTGCATGCATGCCTCCCTCAAGCATACTGTGACACTGGAATGTGGGCTCACTAAAAACATAACTAGCATATACCCTAAACTCGACACGCCAAACAGAAATCTAACAGGGAGACATCCTGCAAAACTCTGAAATAAACTATATACTTACCTACAAGTGTCCGATCTGTTGCTTGTGGGAATTGACTTTCCTCATCCAGCAGGGACAATAAACCCATTGGTTTCTGCAGGAACATATCTAAGAGGGGCCTGTTGTCCTCGTATTCTATAACTCTTGCATCAACACCTTCATATAGGTATTCATTCTGTAACAAGCAACAGAAGGCATGTTTTGTCTATGTATAGAAAACCACTTCAGAAAATAATTCACAAACTCAATTGTAGCAAATTAGAACTACATTGAAAAAGTATGCCCTGGGGCTAAAGACATCAAGGTTTTGCAGGAAAATTGTCAGATGGGATGTATCACACTGTCAGGCTATAGACTTTAATTTGCATTTGGGTATGTAAGTGCTTCCTATGGCATAGTTGGTAAAGTAAGATGCTTTCCAGGAATATGCAAGAATTAAAGAAACAGAGTTGAAGAAGATGAAGTAGAGTGTTTGCAGTGGAGACCTCAGTGTCTACTTGCTTACCCGGTCTGCAATGTCAAAAATATATCTTAAACATTTAGAACTAGATTTACATTTCTGATTCAATGCTCAGATCTATGTGATGTACAGTGGCCAAGATTTACAAAAGTGACTACAGATTACAAGGGCCTCAACTTGTTTGATCCCCCTCCTCAAACACCTAGAAAAGTTCCTTTGTGGAGAAGAATGGTGCACATAGTTTCTGACAATTAAAGAATGGTGTACATACTTTCTAAAAATTAAATAAATTGTCTCAGGCTGGCCTTAACAATGTTTTCACTCCTTTTTAGGAACTAGGAATAGGCATTTAGCAACATTATGAAACAACAGAAAAGCTGGTGGTCTTTTGTGTATTATTTTTTCCTCCCGAAGACTGTAAATATGTTCAGATTTCTACCAGAGTGAGAAAAACCTGGTAACAAATGCAGTGTCCACAGTGTGTTGTAATGGTTTTATCTTGAAAATAATTTAAATTATAGCTCAACAATACAAGAATGACTTTCTTTAATCCTTCAGCAAGGCAGAGGACAGTCATAGATTTACCAAGAGAAGGATGCTCTAGGGACTGCCACCCATCCATTATTTTTGCCTGCATTATGTAATGCAATAGCAGTTACCCACTGCACAGTGCTCCCATCATATAGCAAGGCTGCCTTCAGTCCTGTGCAGGCTGTAATATGAAACAGATAATTAAGCCTTCTGATCTACTCTAAAAATCATCCCTCTTCCAAAGGATAGGACTTTATAAGTGTTGTCTTAATGTATGGTGATAACATCCCAGTGGTGCTATCCTGAATTCATTGTGAGAAAAGTGTCATAAACATGAACGATGGCTAATAATAATGAGTTCAAAGACCTCTAACCCTGAAAGACCTCTCCTTATGTGTCATTCACTTGAGTCTGAATGTCTGTCAGGGGTGAGTGAAGAAGGCAATACATTGAGTGTTTCAAAAAGGAGTTAACTGCCATATACAACAGAAGAGCACGTTATTAGACTTCATATCTCTGCATCTCTAAGCCAGAGAGAAACAGCAAAATTAATAAAATCAGTAACATTGTCCTGGAAAAACAGGACCAAATAAATAAATCTGCTTATCCATTTGAAAGAGAACACAGAATATATACCTAAACCCTTCCAGTATCCCGATTGATCTGATTTCCCAGGACACTCTTCATTCTAAGGATAGATTATGGCTCAGTGTATATGCTTGTACAAGGGTGTAAGCAGTAAGAACCTCTCCTACAGCCCCATGAGGACTCCTCATCTCAGACACATAACGTTAAATTCATTCATGTCTCCCCTGGAGCAGTGGACAGCTGGAGTTCTGCTTTTTATTTTAATCAATCACCTGAGTAGCAGGACAAGACAGGACAGTAATAAATGTATCACTAATACAGGCAAGAAGTTAATTATATACCTGTAGGAGCTAGTGGCAGGAAGAGAATGAATCTGTGCTATCTCCCAAAGATAACACTGGACTAGGGGCAGCTTAACTGAGGGCTACAGCTGTAGCAACACACAGATGTTACTTTCATGAAACCAGCTGTTACTGCTTAGGATTATCAAAGGGGAAAAGGGGAGAGATTGCTCAGGATGAATCTATGAGAGAGTAGTGTTTCTGTGACACTCAGACATCCTCAAACAAGCTCTCACAGACAACCCATTGAATAATTAACTTTTTCGACCTTCAAGTGCTTGTGAGAGAGGCTGGTTTAGAGACGTGATAAGAGTTCTGCTCAGAACTGAAAGGAGGTCGGTAATAGCTGTCCCACTACACTGCAACAGCAACATCTGCTCCTCTCCCAACCTGGCCAGTGTGTGGGGCCTGACCTTCAAGCCTGCAGTGTATGTGACCATTTGGACTTTTGTGTCTGCACCTCGACAACTGAATGAGTGTCAGTGCTGACAGTTTTGGTAATGCTGCTGTCTGCCCAGTAGGATATGGAAGGTGTTCGCTCTGTCACTTCCCATGGGATCCCGGAGGATGGCTTCCAGGCACCAGTGTGACAGATAGCTCAGAAATAAGACACCATATTACATTTTCTTATGCAATGATGGTCTTCAACCACATTATTAGGATACAAGCAGCAAGGATAAAACCCTTAATGATGCACATCATAAAACTGTAATGTAATACATCTTATTTGAATTAATAAGCTGAATCAGTTACAGGATTCTGTAATCCCCCATGATGTTTTATGACAAGAAAGTTCCTTAAAATAGCAGCTACTCATTGAAATTCTAAAGCATAATCCATTAGAAAGTATTCCTATGGATGAGATGTCAAATGAAATGACTGAGTTACACTAATACTTGGGCTCCTATCTCATCTCAGTATTGCACGGTGTCTTTTCTGTGATCAAAACTAGGTAATATTAGCTTGTGCAACCTGGTTTCACTTAATAACAAAATAATTATTAAATGCATTAGGAAATGGTCTTCATGCTGAATACAAAAAAAAGTAATGGCATTTTGCTGACAACATGGTAGGGTGATGCTTCAGTTTCAATGGGAACACCAGAGACTTATTCAGAATGAACCTTTTCCAGATTAAAGTAGAAGATTAAATGTCATATGAATGTAAAAGAAACATTGCATATATTTAATGCAAAAAGTAGCATCCTTCCAACTGACAGTAAATTTGCCACTTTCCAAAAAGTTTTAGGTATTTGACTTTACAACTTTTACTTTTTACAGAACAATCACAAATGAGAAAGAAATGGGAAGGTTGTCTTGCTGGATGATGTTATCTGCAGATCATGGAGCTGACAGAATGAATTTACGTCAGTACTCTACATGTAAGGGAAACACTGGGAAAGACAAGACTGAAGCTGCAGGAGTTGATCTTTGTTTAATATTAACATAAAAAAAGCTTGTGCCAGTATCCATTCCACTTACATATAGTAGTTCAGGCTCATTTCTCTCTGACTTTTAGATAGTATTAAAGACAAGGAAATACTTGTGACTGAGAATCTCCCACATAAATCTATAAAAACAGCCACAATGTCTAAGACTGTAAGACAGCTTTTCTTGAAATAACTGGAAACAGGATAAAACATTGATCCATATAAAAAAATTTCACTTTTATACATAGATATATGCACCTCTAGACTGGCATATTCATGTGCACATCTGCATATACAGACACATTCCAAACTTGTATCTGTCTCATCCTTAAAACAAGCAGTGGTTAGCACTGGCAAAACACTCTTTTTCTGCTAATACTTAAAATTTGTATTCAGGAGGATTTTCATCTATCATCTTTCACAAAACCCAATAATCTGAATAAAATAGAGAAAGTATTATTTCACCTAAAATTTAAATGTTGACTATTCTGCTAATAAAGAATTCTGGAATGTTTCTGTTTTCAGCAAGAATTACTTTTCCCGGACATATTTCTTCAAATAACAATATTTATGATCTAAAGACGGTTAATTTAATTCTCATGGAATTATTTATAAAGTTGAGATGATCTTTTTTGAGGTTTTTCACTCCAATCTTCAATGTAATAAAATTTTATAACAACTCTCTTCATTTTCTCTGTTTTACATCAGATTATTTAGATTAAATCCATCATTGTTTAACTTAGATGATCTAGTTCCTGAATAAGAACAAAATAATTGTGAGATTTTCAGTTTTTAATAATGGAATTTCAGTATTCGTTAAGCTTATTAGTAAGCTGTTATGAACACTGCACTTCAAAAATTATGTTACCATTCATTTATCTTTTTACTGTAGAATCATACATTACATCACTCATGTTATTCCTCAAGAAAACAACATTGCATTTGCATCAAATCAATTATCACTGTGTTACATTGCTTAGATACTGTAAATTTCAAATTTAATGTATTTTATGTAGGCATTTTACTTGCAAGTAACAAGCACTGGTTCACAGAATACACACTCAGAAAACATTTGTTATCATCTGAAACTAACAACCTATTATGAAGAAGGAGACAAGGTTTTATATGTTCAGCAATACTAAAGCTTTATCAAAATATTCCACACATACCTGTTCCCAAGCAAAGACATGTTGATTGAAGTAGAACTGAATTTGTTCATTGGCAATGTTGATACAAAGTTGTTCAAAAGAATTTTTTTTGAAATTCTCAAAGCCAAAGATATCAAGAATTCCAATGTTCAAACCACCATCATTTCCACTGCAAAGATTAAATAAACTTTCTATTGTTGTATCTTTATTTTACACTGATTAGCTTCATTATTATTTCACAAAAGGAAATAATGGGCCAAATCTGTACTCCAGTTAAACAGAATCATTCTTGCTAAACCAGGTATCTCTTAAAAGAACAATCAGTTTTCGTTTGAAAGACAATAAATGCACATCAATCCAAAGATGGCTGTATTTGCAGGCCAGATACACTGAATCACATGACTGAGACAACTGACATGCATATAGAGGATTTGCAATTTTACTTTTAAACTAATATTTGCTAGTTATTATTTTATTGTAAAAAGCTGACCACAGTACAGAAACAACATGCAGTTCTTTTTGTTTCTTGCAATAAAACAGGCTTTACTCACCAGCATCTTGAAATTAAAGATTGTGGTCATTAAGTATTATTTCTTCATATTGTTTATTCACAACAATTAAAACTCTTTATTTTAACATGAAAGTCAAAAGAATGAATAGCTAGACCTTTTATGCATCTAAATAACTACTTTAAGTACTGGAGTGTGGTATGAATTTAAATTGCTAATTAAGTTCCAGAGAAGTACTACTAGTAAAAACTTCAGTTTAGAATTTTAGCTGAGGCATCCTGAGAGATATGTGGTCATTTCTGCAACTGGAAAAAAGTTCTAACATTTGTATTCATTTGCTGAAACAAAAAATTAAGAGGGTATAATTTTGTATCAAACTGAAGTCAACATTAGTGTTTTCCTAGCTAAATTAAAAAAATTAATCACATTGTTTCTATAAAACCCCTTTGAAGGGCTACCTATTACCATTTTTCTTTTTTTTTTAATAAAAAGTGTAGGAAATTGGATATGATGAACCAGCCTTAAGATACTCATGAATAGCACTTGAACCTCTTTGTGAAGTCCATCTTAAAAAAGGAAGTTTTTCATTGTGGAGGGATCAAAGGTATTTGTTGATGTTGATGTGAATTTGGTGACTGTTTTATCTGTCTGGAAATTACATTTTTTATTAATAGACTGCTGAAATTTGTCTGACCTGTTCCTTCTCAGAGCTAATTACATAAAAATAGCAAATACAAATTATTTTACTACCACAAAACCAAAGCAGACTTCTGAGGTTTTTTGTATAGTGAACATTTCAGGTTGAACTTTCTCCCTCCTCATCAGCATAATAAGTATTCAATTTGAAAAGGGCTCTGTAACAGGCACATGAGAGAGGCACATAGGCTAGCAGTGCTTCCCCATCCATCATTAATTTTATCCTATCATTTACTATTAAAGCTCTATTTATTGCTGCTCTACTGTAACCAAATATTTGAAAGTTTAGATAAATTTTAGGATTGCAGCTTTGGCTTTCCTCTGATGTTTCAAAAAAAAAAAAAATATCCAGAAAATCCAGATTTGCAAACCAAAGCTATTTAGTATTGATATTCCCCTTCAGGTAGTTATAAATCTGCCCCTTTTCACTGCTGTTATCAGCCATAGAGGATCTATCTAGATTATCAACTACAGGATCTACAATGCAAGCCACATAATTTCTTCTTGGATTAATTTGCAAAATATGTTATTTCCTCAGTCCAAATATCCTTCTTGTCTCTGTGTTTAAAACGGCACCTTGTAAGGGTAGGGTAGACATTAACCTCAGTAAATGTGTTTGGAAACTGCTTTCACACATATATGAAACCACACTTATAAAAACAGCAACAGAAGCAACAGTATCAATGCAAACAAGAACATTATTTGACCTATGTAATCAATAGATGAATGTCAAAAGTTTGACCCTGAAAAAGTATAAAGGAGAAAGTATTTACTATGCAATTTACAAATGGTTAAACAAGTAAAGGTCAAACAGGAAAACACCAGGTGCCTGTGCTATCAATATCTACTGTATTTTCACTGCATACTATGGATATGATAAAACCTTCTCTTTTTTTAACATGGTGGTGTCGTAAACAAAAAGGTTGCAGAGAAGAAGTAGATGAGAACAATAAATGCTCTAGTGTAGACAATATTATTCCCACAGAAAATCTCTATCCTTATACTGGAAAAGCTTCTTTTACCTTAAATGCTTGTCAGGTTTGAGTAAAGTGTTGATGCGATTGACTATCCAGCTAAAGAGGCGCCCATAAAGTGCTTTGGCCATGGCATCTCTGACATCAGTGGCTTTTTCCACAGTGTTTGGACGAATAATTGTTTCTCCTCGAGTCACTACACAGTGAGAGGTGAGGGCCTCTTGCAGTTCATCTGCCTGAATACACAGCAAGGACGCACCTAGGAAGGAAGGTCACAGGCATAGCTCAGAGGCAGATTTTGGAAAGAAAAATATGCATTTTTGCAATCAAAGCTGCAAGGGCAACATATTACAAATAAGGGCCAAATCAAAGTCTTGAAGTATGACTAATGAGGGTGTTCGTGCCAAACAACTGTCTGTATCTAATTTAGTCACCAACCTTCCTAGCTTCCACTGCAGTCAATGCGTAAGTGACTCAAAGCAGAGGCCTTTAGGTTCTAAATTGCTTTATCAAGGAGGCTACTTCTCCAAACTGTCTACAGAGAAACGCTAGGGAACCTAGGTGACTATGTCAGCAGTCTGTAAGTTGTGAGGTATGAATATCCCTCTCAGTTATAATCCATCCATATAAGCCACTGCTGTCCTCCTTTTCCTTCAAAACAGAGGTGCTTCTTTCCCAGTACCACAATAATTTTGTATCTGTGGCAGGAAAGCATGCAAGAAGACAGAGTGAAGACTTCACTGTCTCCCCACCTGCAGTCACTGAGAAAGAGTAGCAACTTTCTTGAGAATCTTTGCCCCTTTCCCTCCTCTGCCTCCCATCAGCCTATAATGTAAGTTATCTCTTCCAAAGAATTAGTGAGTCATATTTCAACAGGCACATGTGGGGAACAAGTAATGAGTATCTAAGAAAGAAACTGGGAAAAAGCTATTCAACATGTTAATTAGGTTCTCCATCAAATGTTCAAATTACCTTGGAAAAATTCCAAAGATTTTCTTTTTAGGCATCTGCAGTATTAGTCATGTTTCCTGAACGCCAGTGAACTGGTTAGTCAAATAAGGTGCATAAAATGAAAATTTTTTTCTTTTTGCATTTGAATTCAGGTGTTCTTGGAATTAATCTATCTTCAGCATTTAATTATTCTTGCAAAATTTCCACGTGAACACAGTTTTCATTGATAACTCTCTTGCAATAAAGGAAATTCACTATGAAAACACTAAGGGAAAACAATCTTAAATCAAGAAAAATCACTCACAATTCTCAAGGGCTACTGGATTGGAAATGTTGCTCTTGTCAATCATATGTTCAGATACCACTGCAGAAAATTCAATGTTACCCACATTTAAAATGGCAGCCAGGACACTGTACACACTTCCAAGTTCCTGAAAAGTATATTAAAATATGCAATACTTAATAGTCAGATAGATTTGTCACTTTGGTTTGTGTGATGGGCACGTGTGCGTGTGTTGGTTCCTGTTGTCTGCCACATGCCCACTACTTTAAGAAGTACTTTTCTCAGCAGTCATTCCCTGTTCTGTACCCAGCACAGTCTTTCAAGTGTAAGACACTCAAAGGGAGGAAGACAAACTATAGCCTAGTCTCTCTTCCATACTTGTTGGCAGGACAGGATTGACATGGAGTATGGGAAACACAAAACAGTGGCAAACATAATCCTCTTATACAGAAAGAATTGAGAGGTTGTTTATATTCACCCTTCAACGTGTTTGCAGGCACAACCGTGTCTAAAAATGTAATACCTAGATCAACAAAAATATAAAAAAATCTGCATCTATGTTTCTTGGATCATGGAAACGGAAGTACTCCAAATAATAGGTCTGCAATGGCTCCCATCGACACCATCAGAAAAAGTTTCACTGGAAGAAGAGTGAGACCTCACATCTCTGATTTGGCAACGCACTTTACCCTTCAAAATGTCAATTAGGAACTGTATACTCACCAAAGCACTTCAGTATGGACTTTGCTTAAATATATTTAAATTTCAAATGATTTAGTAGGTTCTGAAGAGAGATTCTGTCTTGAAAAAGGCTAATATTAGTCTGGACAGTGAAGTGATATATACAGTAAATTATTTTAAGTATTTATATATAACAAATAAAATCATATTTGCAATTAATGAAATAATGCTTTCATTGTTTGAATTAGATTTGAACTGTGAATTTTCATCTGAACTCTGATCATTTATCAGTATACTTGATGATATCTGCATATTTTCTACTCAGAAATGCTGAGGTGTTCTTGTGAAGCAGACTAGGTTTAGAGTTAGGGATCTGTGATACTATATATTCTGAGGCATGCAGTAATAGCGTATTTTATAAATAGCAGGTTTCTAAGTTTTGTAGTAATTTTATAAGAAGTAGTTTTGTAAATTTGATTGGTATTTTATAACGATGAACTTTTCATAATTGCAATTCATTTTATCCCTAATATTCAGTAATTTGCTGGTACCATGTCAGGCATCATTTACTCAGATAAAATCCTTAATTGCTCTAGGAAACTTGATCCTGTTTTCAACACATTCAGAAGTTAATCTAGCAGTTAATAAATTAATTATTCCAGTGACAGCAAGAGAAACTAGATAAACTCACTCTAAAAAATTATGCTCAGGATAACTGGCACACAGTTTATCTGGGTTTTAAGCAATCATTTTCATTTTAAGCTTAGGGACACAGACGAAATGCAAAGAAATGGATAGCTTAACTTCTGACATTATGCTGTACCGTATGTATAGCTGCTGACATTTTTGTGCCCTTTTCCAGTGTGTTTGAAATCTGGATTGATATGTCTCGTACAGCATAATTACTGTTCACCTCAGGCAGTCCTTTCCTATTAATTTTGCCATGCAGCCTGAAATGAAACAGTGTGATTTTAAGATAGGGAGGTACCAAAAGTAGTTACTATTAAAGCCTGCTAGTCAGTTAAAAACAAATTTCAAAGAAATAAAGCCTTGTTTAGATCTCAGTTTTGATTGGAGTGGAGAAGATATTCTGTCAAAGGTTTTCTGCTAATAAAACATGTAACAAGCTTACACAGAACTTCCTCTGTGCACTGGGATGAATGTCAAAGCTTAAGGCTGCATTACTAAAAAGTGAATTTAGAAAGGGAACTCATTGTCTTACAGTATCTTTTTCTCACTGAGAATAAATTATCTCTGCACATGGATCCTATACCAGAACCTCAGTGGGGGAAGAAGACTTCTCTATTCCTTCACTCTTGCAAACACTGCCTCAGACAGGCTAATTCACCCCATGGAGAATGTAAGACAGGCTAACATGGATGGGGCTCACATGTAACCACAGATTGACTGTGGTACTCAACCTGCTTCTGAAACTGGGCAGGTTCTACAGGTAGGTAATTCTTCACGGATTCAGCTCACAGTGGCTTGCTGAGTTAGTCAAGTGAAGATCCATGCTAGAACTGCACAATGCGGCCAGTGACCTAGTTCTAACTGGGTCTCCAATATGTAAGGAATGCCTCTTTTGGATGATCGGGATTATTGTTTCCATCCATCCAAGTGAATAGAACAACCAGGAACAAAACCAGACTTGCTGCTTTTCATGGTATAAATTAGGACTTATCAAGGTCTCTGGTGACAAAACTTCTATCAGTGCTGAACTGTGCATATCCTTCCACGTTGCTTCTGGAAAGGTGAAAGTGCAGGTGAAAGGATGTGATAGCACAGGTGTGATATCACTAAGTGCAGTTGTGAATAAGCATGCAGAGGAAAAAGAGACTGTGAACACGACTGCTGCTATGACTTAATGCAAAATGAATATAGAGGAACAGAATAGGTGAATAAATCCGTTCTGCTAGCTATTAAAATATTTACATTGAGGGAAGTCAGAAATATTCAACTGAAGTAATTTTCTGTGAAAAACTGCTTAAAACACACAGTTTTGTCAGTGAAATTAAAACATACATCTATTCTGCAGCACTCATGCTATATTTCATGGATACTATACAGATCATATTCCTACTATTGTTTGTGATAAATAAAGTCAGACGTAAACTACAGCTGTGATGCACCACTTCTCCTAAGAAGAGAGAACTACGGTGCAGGATGGGGTTTTCTTCCCTTGTATCCTACTATATAAATCCAGAGGCCTGTTTCTATTTTAATTATACTAAAGACAGACTGAGGAGAGGGGTTTAATGGCCAGCAGAACAATGATATGAGATCATAAAGAAAGAATGGGTTCAGTTAATGTTCAGTGATGAGATTCACTCCAAAGGGATGTAAAAATGTCATTCAACTTTACCCCTGGAATTGTGAAAATGTATTGAGTTCATCAAAACTCAGATCAACTCAATGAATTTTTAGAACTCTCACCATGGACTTAATTTTAAAACAGACATGAGGCTCATTCACAGGCCTAAAATTATAGGCTAATAGTTTATAACATAATTTTCTATGCATTTAATTTGCAAAAGCCTTTTCTTCCCAATTACTCAGCTGTGCTGCATTCACTGATTTCAAAGTCTTGTTGACTAATACCATTTTAGTTTATCAATGCCATGAAAATTTAAATGTGGTAATGTAACAGTAAGTTGACTGTGCAATATCCTAAAACATAAACACACTACTGCTAAATGAAGAAAATAACAAGGGAGATTATTTGAATGCTTTGTATAAGTTTTTCCGAATTAAGGTAGTCATTAAAGGTCACCAGAAAAAAGCATTATCAGCACTCACCTCCAGTGTAAAACCTATGACTTTGAAGCACTGTTCAATTAACTCAAATTGAGACTTATAAAAGCTATTGTTCATGAAATCTTGCACTATTCTGAAATGATCATTTTGCAGGTATCTGAAAGAGTTGATGGATACAGAGTTAGAATGTAAATGAGGTTGAGAATTCAACATCAGATCTCTTAGCAATCAATTTACATAAAAATAAACTGCATTACCTGGGAGGTCTATATTCTGGCAATTTATAATGTGCCAGTTTTTTCTTTTCCGCCAGACCAGCATAAATATAATAAAAAATATGGAAATTTTTCTCTCCTCTGAAACAACAGAAACAACAAACTGGTTTAGTAATGTAACTATGTTACATTTACTGATGACATACATGCTATTATTAAATGTTATTTTAATAACAGGCAAGGTTCATTCAAACTGGCAGAGGATTCTGAAAGAAACTCTATTACACAAGTTCCTGTGAACACCCTTTCTGCGACATTGTGTGTTTGTTCCAAAGCTGCCAGGGCTACAAGCAGCTAAATGCTGCTCTGCCTTTGATGCAGTTGGTATATGCTGGGTGAGATCTTGCATATTGCTCACCCAACTGCATTAAATGGGCTGTTTAACCTCCAGTTATTTAAAAAAATCTTCTGACCATGGGAGACCTATAAACTCCTGATTCACTGAATCCAGCACGTTTGCTGTGTCCTTTAGCCCTGAACCAAGAAAGCATGTAAGCATTCAGCAAAGGGCCTTATGATTTGTCATGCTTTGCCTAAAAGTTAGGGGCCCAAACCCAGGACACAAGGCTTATTGTATATCCAAGGTTCCTGTGCACCTCATGAAGAAGGCGGATGCTTAGGTGGAAATTTGCAACCACCACCTAACCCTGAGATGGCCAAGTCAGTCACTATGAAATGGCAAAAAGGAAATGTGTCCAAACCCCTGTTTTCTGCATGAGCTGAGGCATGTGTCTCAGGAGCACCATTACGTGCTTCTGTGAAACAGGATCAGAGCCCAGTGCATTCCTCTCTGCATAGGGAGTGCCTAGGTCAGTCCAGTGCCAACTTAGTTGGCATATTTTACTGTGGACAGTCAGTAGTAGAAAACAAGATCAATTTAAGGAGTAGGAGCAGATCCCTTCCCCCAGGCATCTTAGCTATTAGGTTGCATAGCCATGCTATGCATGCTCTCTGAAACCTCACTGTGTCCTGATGGTTTGTGTACTGTCTTGGAAAGGTGGGGAAACCAGTAGGTTCAAAATCTCTTGGCCTGAATTGGGTCTGTAACTTGGGTCTCCCATTTTCTGGGTAATCAGTCACCGGACTTCTGCAAAAAGTCATTCCTAGCTCTCCATGTGAGTTTGTGAGTCGTGTTCTCCCAGAAGAGCAGAACAGACTGCTCTTGGAATGCAGGTGCCTGAATACCAGTTCTCTGCCCTGGCACAGCCGTATGGACCAGCCACCTACTGACCTCAGTGAAGAGAAGAACACGCTCAACACAAATGGCTTCGGACACTCTTGAAAGTTCATGTCTCAAAATTTAACTTCCTACAGTGTCTAAACATTTTCCTGTGAATTCAGACATCTAAGCACCTACCTAAATAGCATTTGAAGCACATAAATTCTTTGCTGATTTTCTGTCTCAGCATGTGGCTAAATATAAATAAAAACTAACAGCCACAGAAAACCCATGAAAAGTTATGAAAAAAGTGGTATTTTAAGGAAAAAACTGATTTTAGTCTGAAAAAGCAGTTTCTGTGCTTACGTCCAAATGGGGAAAAAAACATCGTTTCATAAAATTGCCTCTAACTTTAAATTGTTAATTGAAACATTCCAAGTAATACTTAGATGTTCTTAATGTCACAAATCTACAACAGGCAACAAGGTCATGCAGAACTACAAAAGAACAAAAACGAGTAAGAGATCAGCAAGGGGAAGAATTTAAATCAGTGACAACATTTCTTGTCTCAAATTATTTTTCCTATTATTATGGCAGAAAGAGAGCTGCTGAAACATTTTTTATCTGAGTGCGCTATATATTAGGTTAGAAAATACATGTTAATAATTTAAATGCCATTTAATTTTTCCATGATTTTATATTATGATAAACACATGACAGAGATGGATCTGTTCTGCATTTGGTCCATAATCCTTTACAATCAAATCTTAATAGATGCTCCAAAATGCAAAACAAGCACTTTGAAAACAAACAAACAAACAAAGCTACAACTCTAGATGAAACATAGAGGAATTAAATTCAAGTGATATGCTTAACACAATACTTCAAGCTTCCACTGAACTATCATAAAGTTTTTAATTCTTTACACATTCTGATATACTTTATATATCACATATGTATTTTTATAAGATTTGTTTAGATAACCCAGGAGGCAATGACAAAAAAAATCAGGAGTAGTTTTCAGCTAGTTTACAGATTTATAAGCTATTCATATATCATTTATAAGAAAAAATCCCAGTACCTTATTCATCTTTGCATTTTGATCCAAGATAATTTTCTGCATTATAGACCTATACTGTAACCCCCAAATTAGCTCAAATATGATTTTTATACTTACACTGCCTGGTGGACAACTCTGGATTTTTCAAGGAGATACTCTGAAATCTGAGCTCCTACTACAGTGCCACCACAAGTGAATTTCATTTCCAAATATTTTCCAAATCTGCTTGAGTTATCATTGATGATAGTGCCTGCATTCCCAAATGCTTCTACAAGGTTATTCACCTGGAGGATCTTCTCCTGTAGAGTCCTGTTATTAGCCTGGATATGAAAAAGATATTGCTTAAAATTATCAGTAATCATTCAAATATATTAATTCTTAAATGTTTCTTTCCTCTTCTAGTTAGTATTGTGAAGTGTGACATCACCAGGGCAGCCATTCCTATGTGAATCCTATGGAAAGGCAGGAGTGGATATATCATGAAACCTGTCAGAATATAGCTATCTGCAGAACTGATGGCTGGCTGGAAGAGATGATACACGTCATGATAACGACAACACCAGAACTAATCTATTTCTGTGGTCCAGCACTCTGAGACAGCTGGCCTGCTTTTAGGATCCTTGTTAGCATCTGCTTACTGCTGCACTGCACCACACCAATAGATCAGTTTGCTTGTCTCACCTGGGACATGCAAAAATGGTATTTTATTTAGACAATTATGGTGGTCACTTCCTGGAATGACCATGTCCCACTAATAGCAATCTGGTTGTGGAAGGAGGTGAAAAGCTAGAAGAGGATTTGATTTAGTACAGTTTGGGTGATTTGAACATACTCAATTAAACAAGGGACAGACCAAAAGTCACAGCCCTCACTGCAGTGGGTACTTTCTTTCAGAATCCCCACATTATTTTCAACTGACCCTAGTTCAGGAAGGAGGAATGGGTAGACAGATCAGCATCATGTTCCAATCTGATCTTACAGGATTTCTTTGAAAAATGTATTACAGTCTTGACCCCATACCAACTCCCTGTCCATAGGTTCAGTCAATTAGGCCTAAGAAAGCGAAGCCTGACAGAGGCATTCCCTTTGAAACATACCTTGCCCAGGACAGTGAGCTGCTGAACCAAAAGATGGGCACTTTGTGTTTTGCCAGCTCCACTTTCTCCAGAAATAACGATACACTGCAGAGAACAAGAGCATGACTGAGCTCATTAAATATCTCTCAGCCTAGCAAAGGATATAATTAAGACACCTCATCTTTACCTGATCAGAGTTGTATGTCACCATGGACTGATAACCGATGTCAGCAACAGCAAAAATATGAGGAGGGTTGGCAGTCCGTTTGGCTCCAATATACAATTTGGAATGCTAAATTCAAGAAAAATGACGACATTATCAGTGTCCCTTGGCATTTTTTTTTTAATCAGAGTTTAGTTTTATTTTCAGATTAGTGTACACCATGCTGAGGTTACCAGCAGTGATGTTTTCTGAGAGGTTACTACACTCATTATCCCATGAATCTATGTATTTAGTACTATAAGAACTGCTAAAAAAGATGAAGGACAATTTTGTGTGATGTCAGCCCTGACTACGTTATGAAACTTAAATTATTAGAAGAAAATTTAATGTTGCCAGACATCAAGGACCAACTTACAATTTAATTTTATTTGTACTTCACATCCTCTTAGTATTTCTGCATGATACTGACGTCAAAACTTAAGATCTTTTCTGTACCTGTAGTATCTGATAATTAATAATGCCAAATTACTGTATGACCAGATTTTCATATCTGTCCCCTTTTGTATAATGGAGAAGCAAATTCACAAAAGGCAAAATTTTACAGGGTTGCTTTGTGAACTGTCTGATCCACTAAATAGCTACGGCTTCCCCAGCTGTCTTGTGAGGAAAAGCCCCTATCTCCTACCTCCAGCCATTCACAGAAGTTCTTCATGGGAAGTGGAGGAGAAGGAATGCTCCCACCCGTGAAGAGGGGTAAGATTCACCTGAATAAATGCACTTATCTGTACAGATACTACTTCTGAAGTAGCTGCTATGGGCAGCTAGTGCCTTTATACTCTGTGGGGTTCTAGTTAACAAATCTCATGAAGTTAAGCACAATTTATTTCATCCTAGAATGAATGTTGAAAGTCACTAGACAAACAATAACCTCAAAAATCCTATTTCTATCCATTGATTAAAATGGATGACTTGCTCAGGTACATCTGTTTGCACTTTAGACATGATATAGACATGATCTACACTATAGACATAAAGATAACAGAAATTAATTTTTTTGGAGTTTCTAATTTCTGTGCTGAAATTCAGTACATGATAAGGATATGTGTCAAAACACACCTGAAGGGACAATTGTATTGGAAATTCTGTTTTTCAGAGTGAACTGAAGTAAATCTCAAGAAAGGTCTTACTCTATACTTAACACAAATATTAATACTTTAACGGAAATCGGTGCTGGTTTAAAAGAATCAAACCTAGATTTTCACACCTGTGAAGAATAAATATCTATGTTCTGAAATGGATTGACAGCGATGAGAATGTCCCCAACATATGTGTAGATCTGATCCTTGGCATAACCCTTCTGCAACTGCTCTGTTACTGTATTCTGATGGAGAAAGAATAGGAACATTGAATCACATGGGGAAAAAAAGAATATTAGGAAAATTTATAGAATATTTATATATTTACAATGAGTGAGAATAGATACAACTGATGATGATCAAAACTGAGTAACACTTTCAAACACACTGGCATTCCTAATTTCTTGTGTCCAAACTCAATTTGAACAATGTATACTTACAGATCCCCAAGTGGCTGTAGAAAAATGAATTAATAAGTGCTGCTTTAATTCAATTAATCAAAGGTTTTGATGAGACAGTCTTGTCCTCATTTCTGACACTACAGCTTCATGTAACTCATCAAGCAAGAGTCATATGCTTGAATTCATAACTGCCATTACAGATACTCTAACATTACTCTCAGTTATGGTAAGACATAGATTCAACTGTTTGGATCCTGTTAATATAAACAATCAGGCATCTTTCTATATTAACAACCAGTCTCTGCTGTGATTGTTTTTTGCTGCTGCAGAGCCAGTTCTCCCCAAAACAAGAAAAAAGAAGGGCCTATTAAGGCCATACCCGATTTCTTGACATAGTTTCCCCTCAGCTTCTTCTGCATACAGACCTGGGTATGTAAAGTGCTTGGTTAGTTTTCCAATCAAAACAGGCCATAGAGCTGGATGAAGAAATTAAAACCAGCGTTGAGGCTATTTTGAGGTACATGTGAAAATATTTAGGCCCTATTCTCACTGGAACAGAACGACTGATAGCAGAGGACTACAGAAGGAATTGCTTTTCCTCCACATCCACCTGTTCACAGTTTTGTGCACTGTGTTCTGGTAAATGCACTTAAAACCCCAATTCTCAACAGCTGAAGAGGTTACATTTCTTTCACAGGAAAATATATGAAGAAAACCTTGGTTTTCTATTGCCTTGATAAATAGTTCCCTTTTAGGTTTTAAATGCTACCTTGCTTTTGGCGACAACCAGATTCACATTAATGAATTTTTTAGGGGAACTTCTGCCCTTTTTGAAATTATTTCTTGCACTGTTAGAAGGTCTCCTGTTTTGCTCTTCTGATAGGGCTATCTAAACTGGAAGAAAAGTTTGAATGGAAGAAAGAGGACAGTTCTGAGAAGCTGCTTCTCATATGTGAAAGAGGTTTTAAACTGGATTGGATTTAGTAAAATATCACATAGTCAAATGATGCCACTAGGTGGAGGCTCCCTGAGGACTTCCCTGAGAATGCTCCACTTCTGAGGAGGTGGGATATACTTCTGGCTCATCTGATTTTTCATAAGTCTTCTCTTTACCTCAGATTGTTTATATGCTTCATGGCAAAAGATAAAAAACAGTCTTGCTAGCATATAGTTATTCCCAATATTAAAAAAATGCCTAAATCTGATCTTTGTGCAGTAGATGAAGTTTGGATTAGCTCAATTACTATTAACTAAACGTTTAGCTACTAAAACCAAGCTCTTGGATGATTGAAGATGTTCTGTGGGCTGTTAGCAGTATGTAGTTTACCAGCTCAAGAGCCACATCTAGTATTCTGGACTGACAAAGATACAATATACCAGAGGAGTTTTACAGATAAGAGAATATGAATTATAGTCTATGCACAGCCCAGTAGAGGAAGAATGACAGTTTGTTTACAACCACTGATGGCCTCTTAGACCTGCAGATAATATGCTGTGGTCCGATTCTTCTTTCTGGTTTTGAAGTTTAAAGCATAAATACAACAGACTTCCCCCCTCCCTTATGCTTGCTCCTCTGCTCCTAACGGGCTCAGTTTCAAACTTTGACAAACCAGTGAGATTTGTATCAGTCGTTTTGTCAAAAGTTCACCGGAAGGCATTGACAGGTCAGAGCCTCAGCTGACATAAATTGACCTCAATGCATCTCCACATTAAAGTAAGTCAATGAGAACCCAGACTAGGAGAGTATGGTAAACTAGTTTAAGGCAACTCTAGATGTCCAAGCAACAGGGGAGATGGTGCTTGGTCTTGTACCTGGACCAATTTCAGATTAACACATCATTTCAAACTAGATACTTAGCTGTAATAAAATCCAGCGATATAAATTCTGTTAAGCAAATAGTGCTACAATACTGCTCAGTCTAAGGCTGTAACTGCAGAGGGTGGTTTAGCTTTCAGTTGGAACCATTCCTGATACAGTAAATCTCATCTAAAATATATGGCATAAACTGGTAAAATGCCATTGTACACATACACAATTGAAGTGTAACAATATTACTGAACTTGAAAATCAACAGCACACCGCTGTGTTTTAATATGCAATTACCCCGCTTCAGGAAAACATGAAAAAGGAGGTTCTTACCTCATCCAGTACCTCCAAGGTGGCTAAATCATCTACCTCTTCCTGGTTTGAAACTAGTACCTTACTGTAGTTCCCTTTCTTTGTATGAATACGTTCAAATCTAGAAAAGAAAGACATGCAATTTCCTGATATAAGGAAACACAGAGCAGATCTTGCATCTGCAATCATCTTGAAGGCAATTCAGCCAAAACCTTCCAGCTTTCCATTGTTCTGAATTCAAACACACAAATGTTTAAGTAACAGGGCAGGATATAACTTCTTAGTGTAGCACACCTGTACTTGACAATTCAAAATCTATAGTTTGATCCAACAACTGACACCATGAAGAACTTTTTCACTGTATAGACCCCTGCTTGATCACACCCCTACATCAGTTGCAAGACTGGAGCTATGCAGTACAGAGAAAATCTAACATATTTATAAAGCATCTAACAGTCAAACTCTGGCACCTACTGCAAAAAGAAAAATGACCAAGAAACAAATTATGGAAAATAATTTTCTGTAAAAAAAACAGGGGTGAATGATGAAATGGTATGGTGAGGATGATGCAGACAAAGCATTCAGGATGGAAACATTTCTAGCTTAGTAATGACAATGCTCTAAAGCCTGGCTGAGATGACCACACTGTAGGGCAAAGCACTACAGAACCAGTGGGGTATGTGAAATACATCCTGACCAAGAAGAATTTTCTTAGACTCTACAGTTAAAAAAAGTCATACAAAATAAGGAATCAAAATTTAAAATCTTTTTCTTATCAAGGTTAAATTTCAATTAAGTTTGTCTTATAGTGAAATTTCTTTTCTCTTTTAGTCAAACCAAAGAACACTTTACACAGTCTTATAGCAATTAGCAAGAAAATTCCCCAAGACTTGTATCATTATCTATCTAAGTGTAAAGGCATTGCTAAACAAAGAAAAAGCAGCAGAAAATGCAAGGTTTACAATTCACATTAGTTATACTTGCTTTATGAGATGGAGGAAAAATCAGGGAAATGGAAACTGGATGAGTAACAGCAGAGTTCACAAACTACATTAAGCTCATATGTGCAATACAGCACAAGCACAGAAAGACTATCAAGTAAATCCAATCTCCTAATAGGACCTCATTCCCCTCAATACTATAAGTAAGAAGGCACATCTCAAACACATGGAACATATACATTGGTAAACTATGACAGCAGGGAAACTGTGTTGTGTGAAACTCACTCATTCTTTACCTTGATTCCAGACACAACCAGGGAAATCCTTTATTTAATTTTGACATTTGGGTATCTGGCATGAGTAAAAGCAGACAGGCGTTTTGTACCAAGGCAAGAACTTTAATATACAGTGAACAGAGGACAGGGGAAAGAGGGCAGTTGCACCAAGATGGAAAGTTAGAATGAATGAACATCACACTGATGAGGCAAGCTAAGAGACTTATGAACCCCCACAGTAAGATTTACTGCAGAGTTTAACAGGCTGTACCTATTCCATTAACATCACCTACTTCATGGGTTCTACTTCAGGTCACGCAGGCTGTGCACTGACATGGCATGCGGGTGCGGGAAGTCAAGCAGGCACCCACTCGGCATCAGTTACTAGTTGCCAGGACTGAAAGGGGGTCGGGAGAATGACAGAAGTACAGAAATGAGTGCACTTCATCTAGTATTTCTTTCAATTTCTCCTGTCTCTATCATTCCCTGAGGGTGACAGAATGGCCTGTCCTCACCCAGGTGCCAGTAATGGAGCAGTTTCTTCCTCCCTTAGCCAGGTGCCAGCTACCACCGGAGTCTTTCCATTGTCCACAGCACAAAGGCAGGATTTTCACACCCACATTAATATCAAGACACAAACACGTAAGACTTCATTGCAAGAGCTAGCAGTTTCACAGTCTCTGTGCCAATATCACAGCCCATTACCCAGCATGGAGGCTAAGTGACCAGGAAGCACAATGAACAGTATGGATCAACAGGATCTACATCGCCTTGATGGAAGAGAGGGACCAAGCCTTGCCAGTTTTACACCCAGCTATTTTGTAGACTACTCTCAAACTGTTGTTAGGACCCTGGAGCTGCATGGGAAAGCAACCCTCTTTCAAATGTTTTCTTCTTTCAGTATTTACTGCAGGCCAAAAAAGGCTGTTGTAGATACAGTTATAAGAATGATGGTAAGGCTAAATTACACGGAGGTGAAAAGCAACAGGAATACTACATAGCACAGTACCAGAGACTTATTACTGCCATGCAGCACAGAACACACAACACAGGGGCTTATTTCAACATCGGCAGTGCAAATAGATAGAAAGAGATGCAGGAGGAGTGCGTGTCTGTGTGGGGGAAGAAAGGCATATTTTGCTGCAATAAATCCATAACTGGGCTGTAATTTGATATGTATTTAAAACTGTTGAAACAGAAAACACACAGGAACACAAGCAGGCAGCCTCAAAAGGGATGGGTCTGATGTAAAGCAATCATCTCTCCTGGGTTCAACTCCTTTTTCCCTTTCCTTTGGAACCCATTTGTACTGTGAGAGCTGTCCTGGTAGTACCGTCCTTGCAGTAACACTGTGAGACAATTTTTGGCTGTATGTGTGATGTGGTAATATTAAGATTTAAATTAACTCTTCAGCCTTGCATGGTCTGCTGCTGCTTGATTTGCATTTACCAGCTAAAGGATATTACTGCATTCAAAGCCAGAGGTGCAGGCAGAATCCTACCCCCTCAAGAGAAATTTGTCCCCTCTATAACCCAAGCTCCTATTATACATCTTTTTAACAGTTTCAGTGGAAAATCTAAATTTGGAAAGTTGAAACAATTTCTCCTTTGCTCCTGCATGAAGGTCATTTTGTGTCCTAGGGATGCATCTAGTATCAGTATGACTTTGAGAAAGACCTATCAATATGTACATGAGAGAAAGATGCAGGAACTGCAAGACTATGTCAAGCTCTGATGTTCTGTTTTTTCCATTGCCAAAGGAAGACCCAAAACAAGACATCTGTCAAGTTATGCTTTCCACTTCTGGTAGAATTATTACACACTGAATACACCTTTAAAAAAAAAATACTGCATATCAGTGAGAGAGGAATACTTCCCAAGATTTATTTCAATTACCTTTTTCATTTAATGTAGGAAGTTAACAACTGCCTTGCAGGAAGGGAGGGGAATGATGCAGTCATGGAGACTTTTCTTTTTCTACTATTTTTTCTTTTAAGGAAATTATTTATGACAGGGAAGTTTAATTACATAAAATTGATTCTCCTGTAATCCTCTTCATCTGGCATTATGAGAACACTAGTACTTGTTAAACCAGATTATATTCTCCATTCTCCAGAGTACAGCAGAGCATCAGATTTGCAGGACACAATATTTTTCTGCTTTGCTGTCAAAGGGCACAGACCCCTCAAGGGCAGTTATACTGCTTTACTTGCTAAAACTCAAACCACTTAAAAAACCTCACATCAGTGCTGTTGACATCAGTGCTGAAATTTCATTATCAGCATGCACATAGACATTGTGAATTGAAATAATCATGTTTCTCTGTTCTGTTCAGAAATTATTTGTTGGGGGCATTAGATCTTACAGCCATGCTTGACACGCTATTCGAGCAGCTAAAGGCCAGAAACATCAACACAGTATGGAAAAGAAAATGAGTCAAGGCAGCATTGTTTCTGTGTATCCTCCTTCACCCACACCCACCCCCCCACACCCCGCTTATCTTTCAAGATTCTGTTAAATCAAAATGAGGCAACTGCAGCTTTTTCTTCTTCAAATTGTCAGAATGCATTTAAAAGGTTTCTGATAGTTCCAAAAATACCACGAAAAGGGAAGTGTGACTCATGATGCCCTGTTGAACTCTCTGCCTAAACTGGTTGGAGAATATCTACAGACTAAAAACTGGCAGGAAAAGGACTGGCCTTAGTCTGGGTGCAGAGAAGAAACTAAAAATAATCAAGTTTTCTGTAAGGTGAAGGTGGGAACAGCTGTACACCTCCCAGAAGTTACAAAGAGCATTAAAAGTGACAAACGGAAAAGAAGCAACACAGAGAAACCTGAACAGGATCCATCATTGCTGGTGATTCTATTTCTCTGGAGGCTGCACAGAGCAATATTAATTTACACAAAATCAAAATTCTGTCTTCAACAGATGTATCTGATGAAATACACTTAAATAAAACTATAGTCTTATATCTATGCAAAATCTGTACCTGAATTTAGAAAAGCGTATCGATAAGACTCAAGCTGCATCTGTACAATGCTTTGCAGACAAACCTGTGCTCCCTTCATGTTGAAATGATTGCACAGCACCAGCTGCAGCCTCAGGGAGCTGTGCTCAAGCTTATGCAGTGCTGTAAGAGCACAGTGCTGCCCAGCAGAGCTACGGGGCTTTTGATTCAGAGGGGGTTCATGTCCAGCCAGTTCAGTCATGTCCTGCCCTTTCACAATCTATTTGCCAAAGTCTGTGCTGGTTTACCATCCTCTGCAAAAAAGCAGATTATTCATCCTTCATAATAGCCTCAAGAAATGGCTGTATCCCTGACAAATTTCAGGGAAAAATATGCGTTCTTAACTGAACAAATAAAAGATCTCTAAAAGGACTCTGGGATTAGTTCTTTATTGCCCTCATGAGTCAGGCCCATGCTCTATGGTCTGAACCATACCGATAAGATGAAGGAGAAGCTCCAAAAGTAAGTGATGCCTGGGGTGAGGTATCCCACCTTCAGGAGAAATGAGTTGCTGAGCAAGTGGACTCACACAATAGCAAAGTGGCAGTTGCAGAGCATTATTCCCAGGGAGTCCTGAATGCAGGAGGAACTTCCTTCTCCTGTTTTGTTTCAGGAGGCAAACTATTCTTCATTCAGGCATTGCTGCTGTCCATGGAAGTACATTTTTATTCTGCTGTAGAGATGTGTAGTAGCTAGAAGCATATGGGATTGGAGATCTGCTTATTCTAAGGCCTGTGCTGCCCAAAACTATTGCTTCTACAGCCTGAGAGCAGTTTGCAGCACAGCCATCCTACATAGGAATGTTCTCAGTGCAGGAATATACACTCCTTGTTGGTACAACAAAGCCCACATTGAGTTACAGGAGAGGAAGAAGTGGCTCGAAGTGCTCAAAGATTAG